TCTTTAAATTCATTTCATTGGTGTGACCGAACACGTCGTCTATTTTCAAGCGCGTAGAAAGCAGCCACAGAATCACGCACTGTAGAGAGAAATTTGCACGTGTCTCCTCCACCACAGAAGTGGATGAAGGAATCGGAGTTGATCGTATCTGAGAGATGAGGAAAAAAAATAGTAAGGCGAAAGGTCGTGGAATGGAAGAACAGAAAGCATGGAGATGAAGGCACAGCACTGAGACAGCGTCTTAAACTCTTATTTGGCAGTTGGTAGCTGATTTAATAAAGTCTGTGCACTTTTACACATTGACAATAATTGCAACATGGATACACAGATTACAACAAAATAGGACGATTGCTGACCAGTGACACGCAGTGTTATTTTATGAGGACATGGAACCACGTGTAGTCTGATTTATCCATAACACAAAGGTCAGAGGTGAGGAACAGCGTTCTAATTGATGTTATTTTCGTACTAATAGTGTCTATGCTCCACCTGGTTGCGAAAGGAGGACCAAAAAGGGGCTCCGTTTTGTCCTAAAATCGCTTTATTCATGAACCGTAAACACCACACATTTGTTTGAAACATGAGGGCAGTTAAAAGAGATTCGATGCAGTGAGCAGATTGCCAAAAGAATGTGCATATGCTTGAGGTGGTCCAATGAAGTCCAGTCTAGCTGCAGTTGATAGGTTTGTGGAGCGCTAGAGTCATCTACCATCGAAGCAGGCAGGTGAATGGAGAACAGATGTGTGGAATGAAATTGGACAGACGTTGGCACAAATTGTTCATCCCTGAGATACGCACCATTAATGGGCTGGGAGATTGGGTGCATGCGCACTTAAGTGATGACACCACACCGCGAGGGTCGGTTTCGTCAGGCCCACGGCTTGGTCATGTCTTCGATTAGTCATCGTTAAGGTGGTCCGATTCACAACACACTGATGGGTCACCTTGACAGACTTCCTGTCCAAAGCTCAGGTTTGGTTTTATAATTAATGGCCTGGAAAAAGTCACAATCGCATGGCTCCGGTTTTAACTTTACAGGCGTCCGTCTGACAATTAGTAAGCCAAATACATGATAGGCAGCCTTTATTGTGTATTTGCGTTTTGCAATGAAACGTGTTGAAGTCGAATCATCTATTTACTTAATTTGAGAAGTAAAATGGATTTCAAGAGAGAGACGCATCCTTTTTAGCTCATCTGCTCTCCGTTGGTGGTTCAGTGCCCACTTTAACTGAACCTTTTTTTGCCACCAATAAAATTGTTTAACAAGTCACCTGGACTCTGTGGATGGATTGGCAATGTGAAGACCGCGGCACTTCAGTTTCTATGCTTTGTATACATTCAGGTGATTCTCCACATTCTATGAAAGGAGAGAGGATGTAGAGGAGATGCCTTTTCAAGACTCCGCCATTTCAAGGCGCTTATACATCTGCTAATGGAAGGGCTGATCCATCACTACCTTGTGACTGCCTTCGACTTAAACAGACTCGAATGCATGGAATGCCGATGACCGCGCTGCATATCTGAATGTTACTCAGTTTTATCCATCACAGCGCCACAATCGGCGCAGCAGGCGTAAACTAAATTTGCAGACATGACGGTGGTAGGTGAAGTGATTATCTTTGTATAAACAAAACAATGAATAGTCAGTCGTCTTTATTGCAAATGGCATTGCATTTACGTCCGACTGAAGCAGCACGATGAACTTCCGAAATTACTAATATTCTTTTCAAACTGTGTAGAAATTTCCCTCCTGTTGTTCAATAGTCCATTGGCTTAAGTGGGAATGTGAACAGTTGGCTCTTGAAGAATAAAACGGTAAAAGTGAATGGAATGGATGGTGTGCTAAGACCACCTAAGGAGAGCTGGAAGGAAGAGCTAGGCAAATGTTTGCGAGGTGACAACACTTGACCAGATGAATGCGAAGGAAACTGAGTGTAGTAGTTCCGCTCTTGACACATCTCAGGCAAGTGGCCTCATGCATCAATGATCCCAAACGAGGTCTTTCGTCACCATCCACCATCTTATGAGGCTTTTCTATCAGTAGCTGAATACAGGTGCCTCAGTTCATGATGCCCTTTTGAACTTTTGAACCGTGCCTTTTGCACTACATGTGACTGCACCCAACCCCATGGTGTCACATCACATGTCGCAGCTGGGAGGTTGTCATATTGTGGTCTGGTGTGCAAGCCCAAGCTGAAGTGAATAAGCCATAAGTCCTGCCACTCATCTGCCAAATCGTCTATCCACCAAGAGAGTGATAGACCGTCAAGACGTCATTTTTACTTATTAAAGCCACACTTCAATCGTTGCCTCGTCGACATCCACTTATCCTAACTTCTTTTATTCATAAATTCTTGCCGGCTTCGTAGCCTCCTTTCTCGCATCGAATAGGTCCGGTGCTACCTACCTATACGGTATTTACTCTCACTGACATCGTACAGTTTCAGGGACATCCATTGAATCGATCATCCCGTAATGGTTAATGGATGGCCACTTAATGCATCCGCTATGAATGCTTGCTTTTTGCAAAATGTCAACAAGTCATAAATGGAGAGATCATCCAAATGGAGGCAACCCCTGTTCGCATAATCGAAATCACTCCGTCTACAAGAGGCAATCTGAATTTGGCAAAGACTTGGGCTAGAATTGACATCATCGCAAAGGAATTGTGTGGAAAGAGGAGATGCAAAAAGGAGTTTAAACATTGGCAGTAACGATGCGAGTATGAATGAACGGCATAGGTTTTCCACTCCCGGACCTACTACAAAACAAAACAATGCAGTAGTGATGAGTGCAGAAGACAGAGGTTAAAAGTGTCCATCAGTGATTGATGGCTTCAACCTCACAGGAAAAGAAGTGACAAACGCATACTTTGGACTGACAACCTGGATGAACTAGAGCGAAGCAGACAACAAAGTACAATCTCACCCAGCAATCCAGTTATTCAAGCATCCATTCACCAAATGGCTCGTCCATCCATCCATCCATCCACCCACACACTCACCTGTTCATATTGTCTTTTCTTCGCCTCACTGTGAGCCTATTCATTGAAGCCGTGCCGTCGTTGATCACATGAGATTATCTTGCAACAACTTCATTAAAAACTTGACTTCATTCTGTAAATGCACTCCATTCATGATTGTGTAGTGCTTATTGGTACACTCAGCTTCAAGATATTCAACAATTGTTGCCTTATTGAGCAAAGTTTCTCCATTCTGACATTAGAGTTATTCTACATGCAACAACAAATGCACTTCAGAAACCGAGCATCCATTTAAAATTGTGAACTTTGTCACAACGTGACACCAAAGTGGTTTCTAAATTCTTGCGGAAGGCCGATAGCATGGCAATGCACATGCAGAAATGTAGTGGCTGTCATCACCTCCGGAAACATCTCCTTACAGCCCACAATTTAAGTGGTGAAGTAAGTGGATGGTTTGATGTCCACTCTGACGTCTTTAAGTCGCTAAGCGCCTCCTAAGAAGCCAGAGAATAATCCAGTCATAGATGGGAGTTGGATGGTTTCACAAGATATTTATTTAAAGTATTTCATCCTATTATCGAATTTGCATAACGTGCCTGTTTGTAAAACCCTTTAAAGGAAGTCAAAACAGCCTTGACCTGAGTTGACCAAGCCGCATGGACGCAGCAGGGCACCAACACAACTCCTCACTTCTATTCAATGCTTCTTTTCTAAAATTGGGTGCAAACCGATCGTAAAACATCCACTCGTTTTGCAAAGTTACGATTGCTAGGATTGCGAATGATCATTTTGGAGAATCAGAAGGCCTTCCTTGTATGCTCATAAATTTTTTAATTTCTGTATGCAAAGTCATCCTTTAGTGACACTGATTCGCAAAATTTTGTAGTCTTCTCAAGGTGAGACAGTTAAGCTCAAGGCAGCACAAAACATTAAAGAAGAGGAAAACACCTTGTCTGACAGGTGGAACAGGTGGCAAGTAGGCAGAGATGCGCACGTACCACATCAAGTGTCAGCGTTGTGGGACAAAATAGCATTTCGAAGTGACAAAGGAGAACGGATATTCTGTTGACTCAGTTTCCTTTCCTCGATTTAAAGATGATGCAAATCAAACAAGTCTCAATCTACGAAAGACAAATACACAAAGAGAAGAAGCTAAGCGTCTTAGTACAGGTTATGCGAAAAGCTACTTGAGTGGCAAGATGAGAAGTAGCACTAGAGTAAGGATTGAACCACCAATGAAGTGCGCCAAATCAAACCCTCAACTTGCGCCAACATTTGGACCACGTTGATGGGCAGACCAACTGATCGGCATGGTGAAACCGAAACCCCCATGCAAACGTCCTCCACGAGACGCATCAGACTGTCGCTGCTACGTCAGCGACTCAACTACACCACCACGACGAACGTCCAAGGAAGGCGTACAATGAGGCCAACGAATGATAAATGTCTGCATGGTTCTTACAGGGATTGCTCTCCACGATCGCCCCAATAAATACGCCATGTCGAGCACGTAAGCCATCGCAATCATTCCACGGCATTCATTACAAAGCTAAACCAACAGGGTGGACACATATGGAGATGCGGAGCTCAAGCTAGGAGGCGTTACTCAAAACCATCCAGAGACAAAGGAACCAGAGTTCACAGTTGACCTCTCGCCTCAACAAAGCTTCAACAGCCAATCCACCGACCCCTAAATCACTCACCTTTAATGCAAGCCAAATCTACTACACCTTCGCCTTCTGCGACCCGCAACATTGATTGGGCAAATATTCAACGACAAATGACCAAGCACCTCCACTTGACCTTGGCTACACCCATTTCAGTCTTAGCCATCATAGGAGGACCACCGAATTACGAAATGGCATCTCCCTCCCACGATCTCACTACTTTTAAGCAACGAGGAGCTATTCATTTTCATAGTCAGTTACAAAGCACAGCAAACCACAGTACAGCACAAATGTGGAAGCCCGATAGGTCGAGCAGCTGAGTTGGAACGCAATGGAAAAGAACGGCGCCGTCATGAACATTGGAAGTTGGAGGGGAGAGAACGAAGACGAGCGGCGAGGAGAGGCACACAAAAGTCGAGGAGGTGAGCGCATTGCAGCAGATGGAGGCCGTGAGATGTCAAGACTGCTATGCAGTACATGCCGTCACCAAGAAAGTCACATTCGCCACCGCATTCCAAGCTGTGAACCGCACCCACCATCCGACGCTGATGCACCAAACTAAGGGAGTAAGAGGAGACAGAGGAGGCGATAAGAACATTCACACACACTCCACTCTCACTGATTGCAATGAGAGAATTTGCGACTCAACAAATCAACTGCCTCAAATTACAAATCCACGAGGTGCCACCAACTCACGTGTAGGAGCCCTCAGTTGGCGAATGAGGCTTGCCACACCAATCGTAGAAGAGCAGCTGCTGACCGAAAGTGCCTACAACAATCTCTGGGAGTCCATCGAAATCGAGGTCGGCCACACAAGCACAGTTGACGTGGTCGAAATCAGCACTGTGAGGTAGCACTAGTCGAGAGGACGGGGTCAGCTTACCACCACCACCACCACCACCACTACCACCACCACCACCACCACCACCACCACC